TTAACCCAGCTTTTATGAAAATTTTTAACATAACTACGGACAATTTTCATTATATTTCTATTGACCCGTTCCGCTATATTTGATTGCGGCCGATACGGGACCATTTTTAAATGACGTATGCCCAGTTTTTGGCACATGTCTTCAAATATATTACTTACAAATTGAGGACCATTATCCGATATTACTTTTAGGGGCGCCCCGTATTTTAAAATATATTTATTTAAAATAGAATCAGTAACTAATTTCGAGGAGGCTCGTTTTAAGGGAACAATTTCGATCCACTTACTAAAAAATGATCAACCATAACAAGGAGATAGCCACTTTTATTTAACTGACTTTTTGGGAAAGGGCCCAATAAATCGATGCCAATTATTTCATTTGGAAATTCCGATTTAATACTATTTAGAAACCCGGCCGGGCGGAAATTAATATAAATTAACTGCTTGACATGTTGGGCAGGACTGGACATACGCCCTTGTTAACTTTTGCAGCTCAGGAAAATAAACTGCTTCGCGTACGCGTTGGATGGTTTTTCGAATACCAGCATGAGAAGCTAAAGGGAGTCGTGTAACTCCTGCAGTATATATATTTAATCTAAGACTAGCTGGGATAACAGGTCGAAATTCGTTGTTGGAATTCGTAGTTTTTGTATAAAATAATAGACCATCTATTAGTTCGTAATGGGCCGCCCTATTTCTTATCGCCACAATATATTGGTGGCTAAAATTTTCAGGATCCTTTAAATAATCATAAATATTTTTAAATTCAGGATCCTTACTCAGTTCGGTTATCACAGTTTCTCGGGAATGTAACTTACATGCTGTGAGCATTGCCACCTTTACAGTATTAACTTCTTCATCTATTTTTATTCTGGATAGGGCATCTGCTACGATATTTTCCTTTCCGGGGCGTGTGCTTAATTACCAGATTATACTCTTGTAACTTTAGTGCCCATTTTATTAACCTTGGGGATAAGTTTTTCCCTGAGTACAATCTAGTTCCCGCCGCATGATCAGAATACACTGTTATTGGACCTTTCCAAAATAGACTCGGAACTTTTGCACTGCTAACAGAACTGCAAGTGCCTCTCTCTCAGTCGCGGAATAATTTCTTTGTGTTTGATTTAAAGTTCTACTAAAAAATGCCACGGGCTGCTGATTTTGCGAAAGTACCGCTCCTAGCGCATAATCCGAAGCATCCACTGAAATTTCTAAATTCTCATCGTTTTCAGGAAATTTCAAAACAGGGGCTTGCGTTAATGCTTGCTTTAATTTCTCGAAAGCACTATTGGCTTCGGCCGTGGACGAGAAAATTGCCTTTTTCCTTTTTAATTTTAACAATGGTTCAACAATAGCTGCAAAATCTTTTATAAAACTCTAACTTCAATCTTTGGAAGAGTCAAATTTTTCACAATAACTGTATTTAACTTGAAGAAAGAGGGCTTTTCTTGGCCTTCGGATTTCCGCACCCTCCCGTCAGCAGAAATCCGTTTTAGTTTAATTTTCTTTCTTCCTTTCCATGCCTTCCTTGTTTTTCCGCTGGCCTTCAGACTTTTTTTCTGGCTTACTATTGAACTGTCGACGTTCGCCGGTTGTTTTTGGATACTTTTTGGTCCTTGCCCTCTGATTCGATTTGCTTCCGTAGCCGTGTTCTTGCCTTTGCTGTGGTCTTGGCGCACCAAATTGGCTTCGTTGCTCAAACTGGCGTCTTCATTCGATGTCCGCCGTTCTTCTATTTTCAAACTGGATTGTTAGCTCAAATAACTTTTCCAGTGTAGTCGGATTCCTTAATTAAATAAAGTCTTGTACTTGGGGAACTAAACTCGGCAAAATCACTTGAATTATCTCAGGATCCGGACGGTTTCCATACAAGAGTTTAAAGACGTGAATTTTTCTTAAAATAAAGGTGGAAAGATTTTCGATTCGTTGCTGGTATATGCTGAAGAGTTCCGTTTCTAAACTTGCACGATCTCTTACGACAGGGAAGGGTTTTACTAAGGCAGTCTTAAAATTTTCGTAAGTATAGGTGGGACTTCCCGCTTGACCCAAGAGGCTTCTGCCTATACATTTGAACCAATTAAGCGCTTGGCCCCTCAAAGCGCTGGTAGCTAAGGTGACTTTATGGAACTCATGGACTGGATACAGCATGAAGTGGTCATCCAATTTTTCCAAAAAACTGGTTACCGGTGAGTTTCCATTAAATGTTGCTTCTGGTTTCATCGATGCGCGCATGGTCTGTACGATGTACCCAAATCCTTCCAGGGCGGCAGCTGGCATTTCTGGATTCTGAGTCGCTTCTGCAGGCACCACAGGTTCTTCTTGAAACTCGGCCATGGTTATTCTTCTTCGTCGGGCGCCACTATCAGGACTTGTATTCCTCTTTACTTGCTTTGGAAACATGAACTATCCTGACTCGGAACAGGGAGCTTACTCAAGCTATGTTTACTAAATTACGTGATTCAAATCTTATTTATTGCAACAACTTAAACTGTTATGACACTTTCAATTGCACAAGAGGCCCTTGCTTTTACAACTGCATTTATTTGCGGAACACTTCCTTTTGCAATAACAGTGTGTACATATACTCCTCTCTTTTCAATCTACACCAGAGCATATCTGTGATTGTCGACATACACCGGTGAGGGTCCGAATGTAGAAGAATGTAATGCAATATTCGATCTTTCACCGACGTATTTGGTGAATGTTAACATTCTCCGGTGAAAGTCGACATTCTTTAATTTCGGTCTTTCAAGGTAACATATTTTTATACGATTATATACATATATATATATATATATATATATATAATATATATAACACTTTCAATTGCGCAAGAGGCCCTTGCATTTACAATTGCATTTATTTGTGGAACACTTCCTTTTGCAATAACAGTGTGTACATATACTCTTCTGTTTTCAATCTACCGAAAGTCGACATTCTCCAATTTCGGTCTTTCACAGTAACATATGTTTATACGATTATATATATATATATATATATATATATATGTATATAATATATAACACTTTCAATTGCACAAGAGGCCCTTGCTTTTACAACTGCATTTATTTGTGGAACACTTCCTTTTGCAATAACAGTGTGTACATATACTCCGCTCTTTTCAATCTACACCAGAGCATATCTGTGATTATCGAAGTACACCGGTGAGGGTCCGAATGTAGAAGAATGTAATGCAATATTTGATCTTTCACCGACGTATTTGGTGAATGTTGACATTCTCCGGTGAATGTCGATATTCTCCAATTTCGGTCTTTCACGGTAACATATGTTTATAATATTATATATATATATATATATATATATATATATATATATATATATATATATATATATAATCGTTTATTGCAATGCATTGTCGGAAACGCTTTCCTGGCCCATAGTGACGAGAGACAACACAAGAAAAATAGGGTACGAACATTGTAAAGATATTTGTTTATTTTCCTTAGCGCAGCGGAAACCAAGAAATAAGAACAAAAGCAGGGGATCGCCATCAAAGAAAGTATTCGAAAGTTCCTTCGGAACGTATCCTAAACATGGGTTTGGTAGGGATAGTCCAGTGCATTGTTCAGCAAGATCACGAGACCTAACTTGCATTATCAGTTCGTCTCGGGGTACTTCAACACATAAGTGCACGAAACCCCAGTTAGAAGTCCAACAGGAACTTGTGGCACATATTGTGGCAGGTGCTGGGAAAGTCCTGGGGATGCACGGTATTTTCCAGAACATCTCATGTTCGATGTGCGAGAGATGTGATACCTGCAACAGGGTGCAGGTCGTAATTTCGAACACCTTTTTTTGAGGTCCATAAGTGTCTAATTTTGTTCCTACTTTTTAATTTCTCTTGTGCTAAGCATAACTGGTGTCCGTTCTTTCTTGTGTTTTGTGTTGTTTGTACCGGCCAGGAAAGTGTTTTCGGCCATGTTTTGCCATTTAATTTTTCGTCATCGTCGTCTCTCTCATATATGTGCATAATTACTTATGACTCAAGTGTTGCTACTATATGATGAAATTTACAAACACGGTGTTTAAAATGCTACATATTCCCATCCGAAAATATCTTTTTTTTTCCTCTTGCCCTTCAAATAAGAAATATGTGTCCTTCATTGCAAAAATCTCCTGGAACTTTAATTTTTCTTTTTTCGAGGACAATGGAGAAATATTTCAGTATAGGCAGCTGTCAATATTCAAACATTCAAATTGTAAAAGCCATTAAAGTGTGGCCGAAATGATCAGAAGGGCTTAAATTCGCATAAGGATTTAGGAAATACATTTTGAAAGATTTTGTAAATTTTCCTTCAATAAATTTAATGCAACAGGCAAAAGAAATTACAGGGAACAATAAATATAGGAGAAAACAGGTATATCTTTTCCTAATTTACTTTGATTTGATTGATTTCTTTCTTTCTTCCTGTATAAATAAATAAACTTTAAGAATGCAACTGAAGAATGAGAATAAAAGTTTCAATTGAAAACAAATGGTGGCAAAAATCCTAGTGCGGCTCTGCTGGACGACGAAAAAGACCAGCAATATGATCCGAATTTTGGAATAACGAGAGAAAATTTGAAATCTGTGCAGCCAGCGATGCAAAGAGACTCGTTAAAATACAGGTTTTGCTGATTCAGAAAGAACGTTACGTGTATATCTTCTAAAATGCTTTTTCCATCCTTTGTTTGTAGTTGTTTCCCTTTTCATTTCAGTTTCCTTTTTTCCTCCTATTTTGCAATTTTCGTCATTGTTTCCCTCTGTTTTTAAGCCACCTGTTTATTATTTCTGTTATTATTATTGCAACTTATGTAAAAATTAAGTAAGGAAAAGTAAGGCACTGAAACTTTGCAAATTATTACGCTCTACGTGAGATTCATGGAGGCCGCTTATTGCATACAAATAACGCCAAATACTTTAACTTATCTGCTTGGCTTTAGGTCAGAACAACGAAAACAACAAATTCACCCTTTGTAGAAAAAATTCTGTCAGGCAATAATCTACGGGGAGTTTTTTCCCTATGAAACTGAGCCAAAAGTGTTATATAGTATCTAAATATGGAAGTGTTGTACATGTTAAACGTGATCGTCATTGCATTACTTTCACTATTTTACTACTGAAATAAAGATATACCGATTTTTTTGTAGATTGGAAAATCCTCCTTGTGATCATGAAAAGGAGCAAAAACTGGAAAACGAGAAAGAACTGGAAAACGAGAAGGAACTGGAAAAGAAGCGAGAACCGGAAAAGATGCAAAAACTGGAAAAGAATCAAAAACTGAATAAAAAGGAAGAACAGGAAAAGAAGGAGAAACTGGAAAAGAAGCAAGAACTCAAAAACAAGAGAAAACTGGAATTGACACAAAAACTAGAAAAGAAGCAAGAACTGAAAAAGAAACAAAAGCTGGAAGAGATACAAAAACTAGAAAAGAAGCAGGAACAGGAAAAGATACAAGAATTAGAACAGAAGCAAGAACTGAAAAAGAAGCAAAAATTGGAAAAGAAGCAAGAAATGAAAATGAAACAAGAGCAGAAAAAGAAGCAAAAACTGGAAAAGAAGGAAGAACTGAAAAACAAACAAAAACTGGAAAAGCAACAGAAACTAGAAAAGAAGAAAGAACTGGAAAAGAAGCAATTACTGGAATGGATTCAAAAACTAGAAAAGAAAGAAGAACTGAAAAAGAAGAAAATACGGGAAGGAATACAAAAACTAGAAAAGAAAGAAGAACTGAAAATGGAGAAACATATTGAAGAGATGCTAAAACAAGCACACAAAAATGAACTGGAAAGGCAAAAGTTGAGGGAAAAATTGCAAAAACCAAAAAAGAGAGACCTGAAAATGAAGAAGGAACTGGAAAAAATGCAAAAACTGGAAAAGAAGCAAGAGCCGGAAAAGATGCCAGAAATGGAAAATATAGAGGAGTCTGAAAAGACGCAATACCTGGAAAAGAAGCAAAAAACGGAAAAGATTCCAAATCTGAAAGACAAGCTGGAACCGGAAAAGAACTGTCAAACCCGAAAAGGAAACCGGTTGAACTGCGAAAAGAGCCAGAACTGGATCCGACTGTAGAACGATTGATTTAATGACCAAACGAAGCAAGACCCGGAAAAGAAAAATAGAACAAATAAATCATATACCTGCTTCATTTTACCAAAATTTATTATCAACAACATTTTTATTATCAAGAACTTTATGGTATTCTTAGTATATGGACGGCATTTGATAATATTTTGCTCGGTAAGTGTAACTACTGATATATTATTAGCTAGTAATTAGTCATGCTAACTTTAAGATACCAGTATTATTTTAGCAGCAACTAAGTACACTCTTTCGTAGTTCAGATCTATGTTTTCAGTGCCTTTCATGGCTGCGAGGTCTTCCGGTTTTACCTGGAAAGTCACAGTTTATTGACTTTTTTAACACATAGCTTTACACATGACAATATTTTTCAACAATAAATTTATGTTGTGCTACTGGCTTTAAATTGTGCAAATAAATATTGCACGGCATATCTTTCATAATTGAACTCATGAAATTAATTTATACAAATTTCATTTTAAAATTTGTTTGACCCTGAGCTGTCTTATCCAACTGCAGATATTCATAGAACTTTATATCAAGGTTCAAAGAAACGTTCAAAAAGGAATGTTTATCCACTTTTAATTATGTGTTAATCAGCATGATTTGCATTACTAAGATTGTAATTCTAAACAAATTAAAGCTTTTTTTAGCTTTTATTTTTTCACCATTGATTGTAAATTAAATAAATCAATTTATAAGATGAGGATAGATCTGCCAAAGTATTTAAATATCAAAGCTCACGTTACTTCTAAATTGAATCAAAACATCAGTTACATTGTATAAAATTTCGGCCAGTTTTTATTTGCTGGAATTCTTATACTCCTCAAGAGATAAAGGGAATTCAGAAAAGTTAATAAAAAAAATATCTTTAAAAAATGTTTGTTATTTTGTCTGTAATAAGGTGTATGTCAACTTACTATTAAATGTATAAAAATTAGGATTGGATTACGGAAAAGAACGCGAACGCTATCTTAAGGGGATGGATGCTTTCGTGTAAACCTTTTTAAGAGAAAATTGCTCGCATTTACGTTCCTGGTGGAAAACTCCACATGTAATCAACCCGTTCTTCGGGTTTGATTGGATTAATTTTGTTCGCTTACTGAATTACATCAAAGCACACAACAATTACCTGTATAAGGGGAGTTATGCCTTCGCGGAGGACTTTCTAAGAGAAGCTGGCTTGCATTTACGTTACACAAAAACCGTGAATCCAACTATTTAGCCAGGATTCAAACCCAAGCGAGCTACAAGTGTTTAGCCAACTTTACCGCTCTACTCAAGAGCCCGTAAAAAATATTCATAAAGGAAAAGTATTGAAATAACCGGTTTAATTTACTAACCTATATTTCTCAATCGACAGTACATAAATTACGCATATGAGGGGGATTATTTGTGAATAAATAAACTGTATTGCACTTTTCTCCACTATTTCATATTACGATGGAATTATTGCATTTCAAAGTTATTTCTCATGAATTAATTTTGCTCCGTTCATGATTTTTGATATTTTCAAAGAGAAAATTCCACACTTTAAATAAAAAAATACGCGAGAAGATACTTTATGCAAAATTTGGCTTAAACGGTTTTCTTAATTTTGCTTTGAAAATATTCCAGGGTAATCGTTTTCATTACTGGAAGAAATATGAAAAACAGATTTACTACATTGTGTCAACACCCAGTATATCCTTATTCTTTTGAAAACGTGAAAGATTACTCTTTCTAAAATAAATTAGAAAATATATTATGTGCAAATAGAATATTCGTTGAAAATGAAATAGACTTCAACCTTTGGATATAACGATGGTTTTAGACGAAATTTCTACCTATGAAAAAAGAAATTGACGTATAATTAATTCTTCATGAACATTTAAAACTGTTCTCAAAATTCTTTTGATGATTGCATGTATAGGTCACGGATTTTTTTTTTCTCTGCTAACATAAACAAAAGCCAATTTTACAAAGAAAAATTATCGTTAAAGATATACCTTCTTTGCCTGATAGTCCAATGTAATATTTGTTAAAGTTAAATGATTAAACGCAACCAATGTATCTCGGATTTTGATTTTTATATTATAATAACAAAATTATCGAAAAAAGAAGATTTAAATCTCTGTTATTGTTATGTAAAGCTTTATTATTGCTGTAAGTTCATCTCAAAATCTAATTGTATTGAATCTCATTCTAATCACCTAATGGTAATAAGTATTATTATTATTATTATTTCATTAAATTAGTCATTAACATTATTTTATTAATGAAAATATGTTATTAAAAATCGCATTCCAGCCTGCAGACTTACAAATCTAGTCCCGTATTTACTATATTTTGTTAAATTTTGTTCTCGCTTTCTAATTTCTAATACGAAAATACTCGAATATAAATGAAGAGTTAAAACAAAGTTAAAAAATTCACAAATTATTTACGAGATTGATTAGAAATAGTGAGTGAAATGTAAACATTACATACATTTTGTTCTAAATAAATTGTGCACTGGATATGCATCCATTACTGCATATTTATTTATGCACTATTTATTTAGAACTTCATTTAAATGAAAGCAAAATAATCAACGAAAAAAATTGCAAATCTAGCAACCCTTCACTATGGGACGTAAGCGTCCGACAAACATGTAAATTTTACTTCATCCATGGAGGGGGACTAACGACTTTTCTCATTAGGAAAATGTCAAAGAGGGGGCAAACCTGTTTCTGATCGCGCCGGTCTGTAGGCTATATTATGAGAATTTTGGCCCGGTTTTAGAAGGTTAAATCACACTAATGAGAGTCAGTAAAGAACAACTAATGTCGGCAGTATAGTATTTTCTATGAAAGTTTAGTCTATACAATTCGTTACACAAAGTGTAATTAGCTCCCTAAAGCTACTTGCAATAACAAATTTTAATCTTAGAAAATATATATATACACTACTGTGAACGTTCATGTCTTGTGAGAATAAATTAATGCCATTAGTTTTTATGATTTTAGTTGGATAACTTATAACACAAAATTCTTTTAATATTCACTGAACTATTCCGAAATTAAAAGTTCAAAATCAGAAGTTTCAAAAATAAATTTCTGAATTTTTTGATCGAATAGCTTATTTGGCACCCTTTCTATTTCTTCACCTGACACAAATGCCTCACCTGCCCCACCCCCGTCCGGCCCTGCTGAGAAACAACTTTAATGTTTTTGTTTTTTGCAGCTGATTGCGTGCTTTGTTTCAAATATCATATCCTGTAAATTTGCTTCACTTTTAGCATAATATATTTATAATTGCTACCAAAAACATTTTGGTTTGATTTCAGTGTAGAAAAGCGTCCGTAGGGCCTATGTATCTACCTAGAGAAAGGAATGCTTTCGTGGAAGACGTGTTAAAGACATACAATGTTCTTAAGAGCGTTAACACATCATGAATCATTTACATAATAAGGCATGATCGGGTAATCGTACATAAAGTTTCCGTTTTGTTTTAATATATAGGGTGAGTGAGCTTCTTGTAAAATTTTGCATTTCATTAGAAGCACTAATCTACCTTTTGTCCCTGTGATTATACAGGGTGATTCTAAATAGTTTTTACAAATTAGGAGGGATTATAGTACTCATCCAGAAGAGCAATAATTACCATAGAACATTGGGTCGCATTCAAAGCTCTGAGGCAGAAAAGAGGAATATTAGAATTTCAACCTAATCTTACAACAATATTGGGAAAGTGAATGAACGAGACCATAAGTTGCTTAATGAGTTTAGTGAAAAACTCCCAGAGAGTGCACAAAACGGATAAAACCGAAAACTTGGCGTTCAAGTGTTAATTCGTTCTCAAACTTTGATGACAAACACTCACATGCACATCTTTGGTTCATAAAGATCTCAACCTCGCAAACGATTGCAACAAGTTAATTATCTAATCAGGGGCTGAATACCTTGATATCAAAGTATCAGTTTTTGCCCTTTGCCACCTTCTAACTTTTCCTCCTGGACATACTCTTCTGCGCTCATTTTACTTGAAGCACCCTTCTATGGGACACGAAGTTCTGACGGCCGGAACGCTGCTTGAACATTTCATGCTGATCTCGGCATTCAGTGAAAGTTGGAGTAAGTTCAGTTAGTTGGTAATATTCTTCTTAATTTGTAAAAACAATTTAGTGTATAGAAAACGGGGGCTCAATTAATCCATGATCAGTCTAACTTACAATATCGCGGAGCTATAATCTAAATTAATACCCGTTTTAATAATATATAGTTTAGCAGCTGTTAAGAGTTTGGCAACACGATACAGAATAGTACACTGTATAGTGTACAAGTGATAAAGCTTCGACTTCAAATATTGAACCTTGTTGAATGTTCCAAATGAAAGGCCCATTTTAATTACACAAATGTCTCTAAGTTCTAAAAAGAAATGTTATGCCCTAAATGTAGCTTTTAATTCGTGATTACTTAAATACTTGAAGAAAAACTGTTATACTGTATTGCTTTTTTTAATATCTTGTGAGTCAAAAAATTTTAAACTGTCCAAAAACTCAAGAATTTAATTGTTCATAAATATTACAAACCATAGAAACTAAATTATCACTTAATTGAAAGAAATTAGTCCTAACTCGGACATTATTAGTATTGGAACTGGAAAAATATGGTTTCCTTTCTATTTGTTTTAGTATTTTTGTAGTTATATTTAGTTTTGACTCATTAGTAAAAATGTTAAATTAATAAAAATAATTTGTTTCTATTAAATAAGTATATAAAAGGAATTAAACATTCGTTTAATTCGTTTTGTATGCACAGCCATTCCTAGCACAGTTCCTTAAATATTCCGACTAAACGTTTGATTTATTTTAAAAAAAAATAAAACTGTGTCTTTCTACAGCATATTAAATGCTCTCTGAAATCGAAGCTATTATTTTTTGTCATAAGGGACATTTCCTCCACTGGATAAAGATTTCGAGAATATTTGATGTTGAAAGTGAAGTCGAGAGATAAATTTTGTGTAAAATATTTATGCTTGCTTTTAGCTTTATTTGAAATGCTAGTCTAGAGAATTTGAATACTATTGAAGATTCTTGGCATTGCCAATCATCTTCAATAAAAATTAGCATTTGTTAATTAAAATGGCGAAATTGGCAGACAAAGTAAATATATAAAATTCTATTAGAAATCCCAATTTATACTTGGAAGAATTGAATAATAATCTGTACTGCTATAAAGAGACTTCATTGATTAATCACACCATTTCGCATTAAATAAATTCCTGAATGAAACGAAACTCTGTTTTATGTCTAGCCTGGGAATGATGTCTCCCCTTTCTAAAAATAGATTTCTAAGAAAAGAATGAGTCATCTTTTTCTTGGAAATCTGCTTTAGAAGCATGTTGAAACATGTTGAGACCTGATTCGATCCAAAATAGGGGATGTCAAGTTAATTTTTATGATGTCTAAAGACATCATAAAAATTAACAAAAAGTTTTTTTTTTTTTTTTGTTTTTTTTTTAAATCTGAGCCAGAGAGAAAATATTTTTCTGGCTGTCAGAAATTTTTTCCCAGCCGACTCGATTTTTCGATTGGCAAGACAGCACCTTTTTTTTAAGAATGAGCTTTTCCTGATCTATTTATTACTTTTTTTTCATTCTGAGCCAGACAT